TTAATGAAATCCCTACTTAATCCACCACGTGGCTCGATTTCTAGTTGTACTTAGGTTGGTAAGACCATATAGGTTGGTGCTTGGCATAACATTATTTTCTGGAGGTAATGACCCATCTCATTATGCGTTGAATTACGACACTTTCGGTGATTGTCTAGTTGGCATATATACTATAATGCTTCCTCACGCGTCCACAGACTTTAACTCAATTTTGTTAATACTGTTTGCATAAAGTTGGATACATTAGCCCATAAATGTTCTATCAATAAACACTTTAATGACACATTTATGTCACCGTGTTTTATTTTATTTTGAAAAAGTGTATTTTTGTGTGTTTACAATGTGCTTAATTTTCATCAAAAAGTGTTTTAGTAACTCCCTAAACACTTTTCTAAAAATACTAAAATACTACTGTTTTGATAGAAAATACAAGTGTTTTATTATATAATACACATGTTTTTAATTACAACAGTGTGTTTTCAATTAAAACGGTGTGTTTTAAGGAAAAACATGAAAGTGCTTCCGAGATTTACAGTGTACATATATACATTCAGACACGACTCAATTTAGTTACAAAATACGACCCAGTTAATGGCTTAAATTCTGTCATCTAATTAGATGGCAGATGATATATTTGTAAAATTTTCATTAAATGATATTCCTTGCAGGTTTCTTTGGACAGTGTTACTTGTAATTGCTGTAAGTGCGACTGCCGTGTACATGTACCTGTGCTGGTATAAATTCTTTTCGTTCCCGGTCAACACCGTCGTTACTCTCACTTATAAGTCAAAACTTCGCTTCCCAGCAATTACCATATGTAACTACAACCAGTACCGGAAGTCCGTTGTTAAAGGCACGCGATTTGAGGAATGGGTACGCCAACAGTATCCACTGTTCAACTTCAGCGATGACGATGTTCAGGTAGAGCTAGATGAATCAATCTTGGAAGCCAACAGAACTTGGTTTGACCAGATGGCCGCACACAGCAAATGGAGTATGATATATCAATGTACTTTTGGTAGCGTTAAAATACCGTGTAGTGCTAGTAACTTCACGGAAACTTTCACCGACTTCGGAGTATGCTATACTTTTAACGGTGCTGACAGAGAAGGTGGGGCGCTACTTGTGGGACACAGTGGAAGTGAACATGGTCTGAGGATGCGATTATTTGTGAATCAATCAGAGTACACTTTCGGTGAGCATTGTGGTGCAGGATTTAAGGTAAAACACATTAGTGGCTACTGTAAATTTCTTGTCAAGTGATGATGCAGTTATTCAAGCATATACTTAACATACTTAACAATTATTTAGATAACTGTGCATTATATTTCACAGCGTCAATGTTCACGTATTAATGAAATACTTAGTAACAACATACATGGCAGCGTTACAATCCTGTTAATTCGTCTGTCAGTGTGACACACAGAACAAACACATAGGTTCCCGTAGGATGGGATGCGAAGGTAGTTTACACTTGTTGTGATTACAAGGCAGAAAAAATGCCTGAACGTTTGCTTACGAGAATAACTGCACATGGTTTATTTCACATGGTTTATTTCACATGGTTTATTTCCAAGGTATTAATATAATTAATCAGTCGTATACTCTGACGCATACACTACATACTAGACGCATAATATTTGATGTATTTTAGAATTTATTATTATGCATGGTTTACTAAACGATAAAAGATTGCTATACCTCAATGGATTCACATGTAACAGTCGGTCTGCACATTATATAAATGATATTACGTGATGAATGCATCATGCCTTCATGACAAGACTCTATCCCTCACTATCCCACTGTGTAATGACACTTTAATGGAAGTATAGTCTCATTAATCTATACTGTATTCTCGTTATTCATGCCTATGGGATTTATGTCGTTTATTAAATGACATTCTAGATTCTTCCCCATCCGCAAGACGAAGTGCCATTGGTTCGTAATTTCGGATTCGCTGTCTCTCCTGGGACTGAGGCTCTGGTTGGACTAAAGATGATTCAGGTAAGTGACCTACTGATGACATCATTCGGTTCGTGATCGGTAATTTGGAGATTCGCTTCTCAAATTAATGTCTTTGTTCTAATGTATGTCTGAGGTCATTAACGTTATGCCATTAGGCGTTACACGTTCATTCAGCATCACATAGCGTGCATTGCTTCTGTCAACATACATTTTTATCCAGTTTAAAAATAATTGTTTCATCACCACGTTCTTGACAGCTCGCTGATCTTTGACAAAATGTTCATAAATAATGAATAAAAGGAATTGCTTACCTGTCACGCATGAACTGTGTACAATATATCTACCCAGGGATTCCACGTATAACGTTCAGTCACTACGCTTTAAAGTCTGAAATATGTATGTTGTCTCATCAACAACCTTTTGAAGGCGACATTGTTAATACATGAGTTGTATAGTGTTATATCATTTTTATCTTCAAATTGTTGAATTATGAACATGACTCACAAGCGAAATCCTACAATTCTGAGAAAACTGATCCCAACTATTATGTAAATAGGTAGTTGCTATCCCCATGGTTACTATAAAGTTATTCATGACGGTAAGCTTTGGTCTTACTATATATATATAAGAATGAATGCTATATTTTTATAAAATGAATGCTGTCACAGTGTGATGGTGCGGTACAGACCATATGCTACCACCTGTTGAGAAGTAATCAATAAATAAATAATAACGTAGCAACATAAATTGCGTGCACACCAACTGAAATTACAACGTAATGTGTCAGGCCATGATCAAATTGTAACCTATGACCCCTAACATTCAGCATCACGTGATACCAATAAGCAACAAGATGGTTTATCATTGGACTAAAATAAATCTCATAGGATCAGCGACTTCACAAAAGCCATTTTTCCATTACGCCCATATTAATCAGATGCTATCACTTGAATGCCTTTCAAAACAATATGTTTCTTATAAGCACAACACAAATATTACTTTGTATTTACTTACCAAATATAAAATTATTGAAATCAAAATGAAATAACAGCCGACACCCAAAAACTGCAAGTCTGATACAGAACATACCACTTTCAAACAAAACCTTGTTTGAATAAAACAGCTCATTCATATATGACAAATCACAATACAAACGCTACCATTCTACAAGTATGTACAGTGTTTAAAAAACGATGCAACGATACACTTACCACAAAATGTCAATAGAGGGCGCATGTTTTTATATTTTACAGATGTTTAAAGATGGCAACATCAACACCTTCAATTTACATTGCACTCTGTACATTCAACAATTTGGCCTTTTTAGCATAGCCACCATCGACTTTTGTATCTGAAATATTGTTATGTTTTTTGTAATCAAAATATGTACATATATAAACAATTGACAGTGTCAGTACTACCTACAACACATCCCACTCATGTATAATAAAACTGTCATATTTGAAAGGTATGGGAAATTATATAAAAATAAATGAAACTGTTGATTGGTTAATATTCCTCCGCAAAACGTATACAGTTATCGACGATAAATGATTACAGCATTGATTCAGAACACTGTATTTTATAGTGTACCTATTTGAGGCACAGTCTACATCATTTAAAATTATAATTGTACAATCATTTGAGTTACAATCGATCTCGGTGAGGTCTCCTTCATATATAATTGTTGTAGCGTGAACCAGTGTGTTTGAACTCAGTTGAGACACGGCAGCACGTACATCATCGCGAGACTAGCTGTGTTGTGGATTGTGCCGCACATGATGTAATTTGTTTTCAGACTGTAATTGCTGTATATAAGATATAGATGCGATTTACTCTTATATTTTCAATATCCGTGCTCTATATTACTGATGACCACTTGAAGGACAGATAAACCTCGTATATTATCACACAAAACTATATAGGATAACCATTTGACTGATTCTTATTTATATTCAGTTATTAATATCACGTTAGCTTTGAATCTACGAATTTACGAATAATCAAATATACTAATCTGTCAAGTAGGACTGGTTATTTATATATTGGAATGGGGTTAAGCCAAAGCGATTCTATAACTACAGTTCTTTCTTGTAACTACTTATCAATGTAATGGCATAAGAAATCTTTGAGACGACAAATGATATGTTAATTCTGCGTAGGCCATACCGACTTAATTTCATGAATGACATCCGCGCGCGCATTAGTTTTCGCCTGTTCTAAAAAAAATCTCCGACGACGAGTCTCCACAGATCGGGTTTCTGTCCAGAACTTGCCGACTCATATTGTCGCAAAGCGCCGGCTTCTCGTAAAACTCGTTTTGGACTACCTCAAAACGTGCCAATTTTGTCGTAAATGATCTTCTGCACATGCGTGTTGCGTTGGCGGGAATTCCAACATGGTGACCACGCCACCAAAATACATGAGCATAACAGTTCAGAGGAAAAACGGAGGGATTGTTGTAGACTGGTACGCAATTGACGTCGGTCAGACAACTTTAAGGACATATTGCCCAAAGTGGCTGTCCTGCGTTTCTTCTGCAACGTTGAGAGAAATGGGAGAGGAGTGGATACACTGTGTTCTGTGGTTCAATTCGTAATACCGGCTCCGTGATCCTGTGGTTTTAGTAGCATTTTTTTGGCAGGATTTTTTTTTCGCCCTCT